GGCGGTGACGGAAGGGACACAAATGAGGGACTCGGTAATGTTTATGGCCCCCAAAACCACCTGAAGGTCCTAAAGCCTAGACAAAACAGCAAGTAGGAAAAAATTGGCTGAATAAGGACACAGATGGGAACACATGGGAGACAAGGGGAATCTTGGGTCCCACACAGATGGGAACACATGGGAGACAAGGGGAATCTTGGGTCCCAAAAGCGAGAACAACAGGAATGAGGAGAGAAGTGAAGAAAGCGCTGGGAAAGACTACAGGGACAAGGAAGGAAAGAAAGGAAAGAGGAGAAAAACTATCCTCTCCCTCCCAAATGCCGGAGACCTGGAAAGAAGCGCGGTAGTGGAGAGAGAATAAGGAGACAAGTTGGAGACAAGTAGGAAGGTAAGTAGGGTAACATGTGGTAGAGACCGAGGGTAAGGGAATGTGACCTGGCCTGAACAAAGGAAGAAAAGTTAAGGAGAAACACAAGAGGCCAGGAAATCCATTCTTCTCCAAGCAGCAGCAGCAGCAATGAGGAGGGAATTAAGGATACACGTTGGAGGGAACAAGAAAGGGCAAGTGAGGAACCGGAGAGAATCATGTGTCCAAATAAGCACCTACAGAGAAGAACAGCAAGAGAGAGAGAGAGAGAGAAGTAAGGGCATGAGTTGGAGAGAACAAGGGGGACAAGCACGGAGACAGACAGAGGACAAGGAGCATACTGTGCCCCGGAAGCACCCAGAGAGAACAGCCACATGTGAGAGTGAAGTAGAGAGACGAGTACGAAAACAGATGGGACTTGAGTTCTGTCCCCAAAGCCACAAGAACGAAGAACACTGAGCAATGGAGAGAGAAGTGAGGAACGGGAGACAAGGAGATTCCTTTGACCGAAAGCACCCAGAGAGAAGAATCGCAATGGAGATAGAGAAGTAAGGAGACAAGTTGGGAACAGACAAGGAGACAAGTATGGAAACAAATGGGAGGCAAGAAGAATCCTTTGCCATCGAGCACCACGAAGAGTATCCTGTGCCCAGAAGCACCCAGGAAGAAGAACAGTAACAGGGAGGGACAAAAAGAAATGAAGAGGTCCTAAAGCCTAGACAAAACAGCAAGTAGGAAAAAATTGGCTAAATAAGGACACAGATGGGAACACATGGGAGACAAGGGGAATCTTGGGTCCCAAAAGCGAGAACAACAGGAATGAGGAGAGAAGTGAAGAAAGCGCTGGGAAAGACTACAGGGACAAGGAAGGAAAGAAAGGAAAGAGGAGAAAAACTATCCTCTCCGTCCCAAATGCCGGAGACCTGGAAAGAAGCACGGTAGTGGAGAGAGGATAAGGAGACAAGTTGGAGACAAGTAGGAAGGTAAGTAGGGTAACACGTGGTAGAGACTGAGGGGAAGGGAATGTGACCTGAACAAAGGAAAAAAGGCAGGGAGAAACACAAGAGGCCAGGAAATCCATTCTTCCCCCAGCAGCAGCAATGGGGAGGGGATTAAGGATACACGTTGGAGGGAACAAGAAAGGGCAAGTGAGGAACCGGAGAGAATCATGTGTCCAAATAAGCACCTAGAGAGAAGAACAGCAAGAGAGAGAGAGAGAGAAGTAAGGGCATGAGTTGGAGAGAACAAGGGGGACAAGCACGGAGACAGACAGAGGACAAGGAGCATACTGTGCCCCGGAAGCACCCAGAGAGAACAGCCACATGTGAGAGTGAAGTAGAGAGACGAGTACGAAAACAGATGGGACTTGAGTCCTGTCCCCAAAGCCACCAGAACGAAGAACACTGAGCAATGGAGAGAGAAGTGAGGAACGGGAGACAAGGAGATTCCTTTGACCGAAAGCACCCAGAGAGAAGAATCGCAATGGAGATAGAGAAATAAGGAGACAAGTTGGGAACAGACAAGGAGACAAGATATATGGAAACAAATGGGAGGCAAGAAGAATCCTTCGCCATCGAGCAACAACGAAGAGTCACGAAGAGTATCCTGTGCCCAGAAGCACCCAGGAAGAAGAACAGTAACAGGGAGGGACAAAAAGAAATGAAGAGAGGAGACTGCAATTATGGCCCCAAAGCACCTGAAGGTCCTAAAGCCTAGACCACACAGCAAGTAGGAAAAAACTGGCTGAATAAGGACACAGATGGGAACACATGGGAGACAAGGTGGAATCTTGGGTCCCAAAAGCGAGAACAACAGGAATGAGGAGAGAAGTGAAGAAAGCGCTGGGAAAGACTACAGGGACAAGGAAGGAAAGAAAGGAAAGAGGAGAAAAACTATCCTCTCCCTCCCAAATGCCGGAGACCTGGAAAGAAGCGCGGTAGTGGAGAGAGAATAAGGAGACAAGTTGGAGACAAGTAGGAAGGTAAGTAGGGTAACATGTGGTAGAGACCGAGGGAAAGGGAATGTGACCTGAACAAAGGAAGAAAAGTTAAGGAGAAACACAAGAGGCCAGGAAATCCATTCTTCTCCAAGCAGCAGCAGCAATGAGGAGGGAATTAAGGATACACGTTGGAGGGAACAAGGGAGGACAAGGGAGGACAAGTGAGGAACCAGAGAGAATCATGTGTCCAAATAAGCACCTAGAGAGAAGAACAGCAAGAGAGAGAGAGGGGGAGCAGTAAGGGCACGAGTTGGAGAGAACAAGGGGGACAAGCATGGAGACAGACAGAGGACAAGGAGCATACTGTGCCCCGGAAGCACCCAGAGAGAACAGCCACATGTGAGAGTGAAGTAGAGAGACGAGTACGAAAACAGATGGGACTTGAGTCCTGTCCCCAAAGCCACCAGAAGAAGAACACTGAGCAATGGAGAGAGAAGTGAGGAACGGGAGACAAGGAGATTCCTTTGACCGAAAGCGCCCAGAGAGAAGAATCGCAATGGAGATAGAGAAATAAGGAGACAAGTTGGGAACAGACAAGGAGACAAGTATGGAAACAAATGGGATCAGAAAGGAGGACGGTCGCATTATACCAAAAGGTCCCTGCCACATATATATATATATTTATGTGGTTGATTTAAATTCACCATGACTAGATGTTGAATACAATCTACTGATAAAACATGCAAATGAACATAGATTGTGTTTTGCCAGGGGTATCTGAGATTTGCCATGGCTGATGGCTACGTGGAATCCGGCCGTAGTTCTGAGCTTATTGACGCTCTCATTGATCTCCATGTGCTCTGCCTCAATGGTGAAGGATTCATGCTGCGCCTGAGTCCTTGGACTTTGGGCCGGGACGTGCGCCAAATGGTTTCGGAGCGACTTCCGGCGAAGAAGGGTGCAAAGCTGGCGATCTACCATCGCACTACACCGTTGATAATTGCAAAATCATTGCAAGAGCAGAGCATTTTAGGGAAGACTGAGAGATTGTCATGTACTTATGTTCCAACAGACTTATATGCTGCGTGGTGTTACCTCCAAGGATTCCAAGTCTTTGACGAAGAATTTGCATTGGATGGGATATCAGAGATAAGAATGATAAGAGGTCCCACCTATGTCCAGCATTTAGGTCGCCTCCCCAAAAGCCTGGAAAAATTGATTTTTGGTGAGGCGTTCAACCAAAGCCTTGAACAAGTGACCTTGCCGGGCAACTTGCAAAGCCTGACTTTAGGTTTTGAGTTCAACCAGAGCCTTGAACGAGTGACCTTGCCAGGAAACTTGCAAAGCCTGACTTTAGGTTATGAGTTCAACCAGAGCCTTGAACATGTGACCCTGCCGGGCAACTTGCAAAGCCTGACTTTTGGCGATAAGTTTAACCAAAGCCTTGAACGAGTGACCTTGCCGGGCAACTTGCAATGCCTGACTTTTGGCGTTATGTTCAACCAGAGCCTTGAAGGAGTGACCCTGCCGGGCAACTTGGAATGTCTGATTTTTGTCGGTGATTTCAACCAGAGCCTTGAACGAGTGACCTTGCCAGGAAACTTGCAAAGCCTGAAGTTTGGTGATGGGTTCAACCAGAGCCTTGAAGGAGTGACCTTGCCGGGCAACTTGCAAAGCCTGGCTTTTGGCAATATCTTCAACCAGAGCCTTGAACGAGTGACCTTGCCAGGCAACTTGCAAAGCCTGACTTTAGGTTTTGAGTTCAACCAGAGCCTTGAACATGTGACCCTGCCGGGCAACTTGCAAAGCCTGACTTTTGGCTATATGTTCAACCAGAGCCTTGAACGAGTGACCTTGCCACGAAACTTGCAAAGCCTGACTTTTGGTGAGTTCAACCAAAGCCTTGAACATGTGACCCTGCCGGGCAACTTGCAAAGCCTGACTTTTGATGATGGGTTCACCCAGAGCCTTGAACGAGTGACCTTGCCAGGAAACTTGCAATGCCTGACTTTTGGCGCTGAGTTCAACCAGAGCCTTGAACATGTGACCCTGCCGGGCAACTTGCAAAGCCTGACTTTTGGCTTGATGTTCAACCAGAGCCTTGAACGAGTGACCTTGCCGGGCAACTTGCAAAGCCTGACTTTTGACCATATGTTCAATCAGAGCCTTGAAGGAGTGACCTTGCCAGGAAACTTGCAATGCCTGACTTTTGGCGCTGAGTTCAACCAGAGCCTTGAACATGTGACCCTGCCGGGCAACTTGCAAAGCCTGACTTTAGGTTTTGAGTTCAACCAGAGCCTTGAACGAGTGACCTTGCCAGGAAACTTGCAAAGCCTGACTTTAGGTCATGAGTTCAACCAGAGCCTTGAACATGTGACCCTGCCGGGCAACTTGCAAAGCCTGACTTTTGGCGGTGAGTTCAACCACAGCCTTGAAGGAGTGACCTTGCCGGGCAATTTGCAAAGCCTGGCCTTTGATGAGAAGTTCAACCAGAGCCTTGAAGGAGTGACCTTGCCGGGCAATTTGCAAAGCCTGGCCTTTGATGAGAAGTTTAACCAAAGCCTTGAACGAGTGACCTTGCCGGGCACTTTGCAAAGCTTGTTTTTGGGTCCTCTTGTTCTACATCGGTGAGTTATATGTTTTTCATTGTGTTTTTCGGTGTTCTCCAGCGGGGACACATGTCCACAAGTGACCATGAAGATCTTCTTTGCGGGAATTGCTTTGAGTGCATTCGTCCGGTTCAAATCGTATTGGCCAAAAGGTCTCAGATTCAATGTTTGACTCCAGAATACATAATTCGTACGTAATTCATTCATCGACATCAAGTTGTCCATTGAATAAATCAACGTAGTCTCCATTGTGGGGTGGGCTTAGGGTATGCACAATGCTAGGCCACTGGCAATGAAACATCAGTGATGCTGTTGCATGTTTTACCGGATTTACCTACACAAAATGGTGATGTGTCATTGCCAGGTGAAATTGCCAGAATGAAATAAGATAAACAGTGAATATATATATATATAATTAAATATATTAAAGACATATATTTAATTATTTATATTGTAATAATGGTTCCTTTTTTAATGAAGGGTCCTTTCAAGGTTCGTTCTTTTTGAAATCCAAAGCGAAATGAATATGTCGCCGCAGTGTGGCTGGTCACGTCCACAGGTTTCAACATCATGCCAAAAAATGCTATAGTGCCTGCCAATTCAAGCACGACCCGATATTCCACCTGTGCAAGGTTGTCATCAAGAACCAATATCAATTTACAAGTGAGTTGTGATGAAATTGAACTGATTCATGTAGGTTTTGCTTCTGCACTTTGCATGTGCGTTCCAATGTGTCTTGTATGTGTGAAATCCTTTTATAGAAAACATGAATGGTTTTGACACATGCGTCCGCATGGTGTTTTGCACATTTTCAGGGGCCGAAAACATAAACTTTGTGCATTCAATATGGCACTTCTAGATGCAGCGTCCACCTGGTGTTTTGCCTCATTTTGCACTGACTGCACTGACTTCCCGAATGCGCGACGTCGTCGCTTTAGAGATTGCACTGGCTTTTCACGTCATTCACGTCCGGTTGTACCTCAGTATTATCATATCCGCGCTTGATACCCCTGCTTTTGAGGGATCGGATCCCAATGTTGGTCCCCCGGCCACCAGGGCTACAATTTCTACGAGCTTGCAGAGAACATTCGCGCTTCTGCGTAAGATATGTGGTACATTGTGGTACGGTGACGTCCTGGATTCACAAAAAGTTGGTCATGCTTAGATACCCTTTGCTAATCAAACTTGGCAATGAAAAATCCCCGCGCTAAATGGAGGTTGACATGGGAACATACCATCTATGAATGAAAGTGTTTGCATGTAACTGCATGCAATGATGGGTATTAACATATATTAACAGACATTAGTTACACACTACATTTACGGGTTATCAGACGCTATTGACCGATTCCAACTTGGGGCTCAATTTTTAGAGTCCTACCCATCTGGAAGATGCAGGTACACTGGACTTCCGCATGTGTTTAATGAGAAGACAATAGCAATGGACCAATGGACCAAACCAAAGATATGGGGATGGGTCAAAACCCTGGCACCTAGTGAACATCAAAATAGCTGGTAAATGGATGTTCATCCCATTAAAAATGGTATTAATAGGTATTGATCCATACCCATATAGTTTTAATTTCCGACTTTTCTTCCGTCTCTGTAGCAGTGCTGACCTTTGAACTTTCCGTAGTTTCCTACCTTTCAAACTGACCAACTGACCTACTTGGGCTCGATCATGATAATTCCTTCCCCATCTTCCCCATCTTCAGCAGAAAAACCATGGTTTTTCAAAGGCCATTTACAGGCCATTGGGGGGGGTCCATAGTCATGGGGCTACCCCAAGCGAGCTTTGGATGGTTTCATGGAAAATCCCCATCAATGGATGAAACTAGGGCTACCCCCATTTCAGGAAAGCTCCATTTGTCAAATAAAGTTGATTTACCACGGTAGTCAAGATTCTGTTCTCCGAATTGTCCAAGCAACGCTCACGCGGGGATGTTCACAGCAAAGATCCACCTATATTCTATGTGTGTTTTGCATTCCCATGTGCCCCATGTATGGAATAGTCAACTATGTGTATCCAAAACAAATGAAGAAACACGACCATTAGCTCGCTAAGTTGCCTTATCACCAAGATATTTAGTGTATATGTGCTAGATAATGGATATATGGTGATATATCGACGTTAATGAGTTTTCTGTACCAACAGACACAACTGGGGCACCAAGACGAGCATCTCCCCTCACAACGAGCGAGGATCGGAGTGCAGGACACCTGTGATCCTGATATTACACGACTGGGGCTGTTACCTGGCGATGTGACATGGAGCCTGTGTGCACGGCTGGTTACCATGGGTGATTGTACTTGATGCATCAAGTTCTCTACTTTTTTGGTGTGTGATGGGATTTTGGACATCGTTGAATTTGACATCATATTCAACGGTGTATGCGTTTGTCTTTGACATGTTTATGGGAATCATGTTGTTTTGTCATCATCGTCATCACATAGAATTAAAACAAAACATGATCATAGTATAATGATAATTATGATGATGATGGTGATGGTGATGGTGATGGTGATGGTGATGATGATGTCCAAACAATGATGGCCAATCAGAATTACCAAACTATCTTGTAATGTGGATAGTCACAATACCCTCCGGCAATCAAATATGGCAATAGAAAATCCCTCATCTATATATAGATATGTTTCCCATTGGAAAATGAACATTTCTTTTTATGTGTCCCATTGCCACGTTTGATTACTGGAGGGTACCCGGCCTGGTAAACATACAAAGTTAGCTATTGAAAATGGCCCAGTCGAAATAGAGAATTTTCCCATGAAACATGGTGATTTTCCATAGTTTTTTGTACGTTTACCAGAGGCTAATTTAACATAATTGTTCACTAAAAGCAGCCATGTGTGAAGTGTTTTTTCCGCTGGATAAAAAGGTCCCCATTTCCTGGTGGTTTCTACTGTAGACAGCTAAGGTGACGCGCATAACTCAACGGGTTGGGCCGGTTGGGTCGATGGATTGGGGGATAGAACTGTAGCACTGTAGGGATACATTGGGGTGAAAAAGCAACAAACCCAACATCAACGGGGAACCTCACCTTGTTCATCTTGGTTTATCGGGATGTGTACCCTCTGGTTTTATTTAACATCATTTAACAGTTCGCGATTGAAGCCATGGCCATTTATAATTGATTTCCCTACTAAAAATGGTGGATCTTTCCATAGTTTTTCGTAGGTTTGCCAGGCCGGGTATGTCTGAAAATGTGGCACATTTTCCCGATGTATGGCAATGATTCATGGAGAATACTGTGACTAAGCATGGGGTGTACCACTGTACCTGCTTTGCCTATTTTCAGACAAAACCCACTCCACGTTTCTGTTGACTAAGTCCCCAATTCTTTGATGGTTCAATCATGTTTCTGCTAAATCTGACTCAGTCTCCGTTTTTGATGGTTAAATCACCATATGTCTATCAATTTCGAATGACTCAGTCCGGATTTTTCATGGTCTTCAACTAACTAACGTTCATGGAAAGTCTTCTGGTGCCGCGGTACGTAGCCACGGACACATTTCTTGTAACGACAATTACGGTTATCGGATAATTATGGAATCATTGCAATGAATCATACTAATCATACCAACTTCTCTGGTTGGTGGTTTGGAACATGAATTTTTATGTTTCCACAGATTTGGAATTTCATAATCCCAACCGGTCCGAACTCCATCATTTTTCAGAGGGGTAGGCGAAAAACCACCAAGCAGAAACTATTGATTATTGGATTTATGTTATCCCATGATCATCCCATAAAATTCACCAATGTTAACCCATTTTTTTAGCCATTAAATCACCATTAAATCAGAAATCTCAACCACCAACCAGATTTTGATTAACCATCATTCACCATATAATACCAATTAACATTAACCATTATTAACCAGTTCAAGCAGTTCTCATTTTTTTGTTTCGAATCATCTCCAGTGAGATGTCTTGGGGACGATGATCTAGGTATGTAGTAAGCCCCAAACTACGAGAGAAAAGTGTGAAGAAAATCCCAGTAAAACTCAGTGATTACCAGACTGGTTTTATCACTTTCGTGGCAATGTGTAATATTCCATTTATATCTATGATGTTCATGGATTTTCCTGTATTTCTGTGGGAGATTCATTGCATGTTGGACCCTAAGGCATCTGGGGATTCCTAATGCAGGCTCGATATCCAGGCGAGGACGGACAAAGCCGACGGAAGAAATCATTCAGAATCCACAAATTTGCTGTGGTCCTATAGCTTCTGAACTTGACATTGATATCTATGTACACATAGATACTGTACATATATATATATATATATATGTGTGTGTGTGTTAATGCATGTGCTTGCTGATTACTGTTTTTTTGTTCAACAGCCTACATCCGGAAATATTATAAACCCGAGAAGCAAAAGCATTGCATAGCTAAAAGGATCGGTAGGTGCATGCACGTGATTCCTATCATCCTTAGATTTCTACTTTATCCAAGGCCCAAGATCGATCTCATGTCTGGTCGGTGCACCTTTTCGAGGCAATCTTGGTTTGGTTTCCCTGGAGATCTCAACAACAACGTGTGTTCTTCTGCGTTCCAGACATCTAGAGGGCATTAGGTTCTTGTGCGAAGCCTTTGCTGAGTTTGAGACCGAGCCCCGAAGCCTTGTGCAGTGAGCCGGACCATAGCTAAACGGACAATAGTTAACTTGTGCTAATTCATAAGACCTAGATTAACCTTTTATATATCCCATTGAGAATAATCCGAATAACTGGTAGGCTACCCATTGTTATTTCTACTTAGTGATAAATGACGTGTTTATTCGAGATGTATGGATCGATTGATAGATAGACAGATAAGTAATGATAAATAGATTACTTACATAGTTTAATAGATAGATACATAAATAATCACAAATAGACTCTAGATTCTAGATACATAGGTTGCTTATTTTCGCCCAAAGAAACAACAATTCCTGGTTCCTGCACTGTACGGCTCCGGCACATGGCAGGCTTGGTCAAAAGCATCGTTGCTTTGGATGTTGGTCAACCCTCCTGCGTGACAGGCCTCGATGCTTGGCCCAAGTACGTTTTTTTGCTCGGAAAATAGGTGATTTAGTAAGGGTCTTTATTTGGAAAATGCTCCAGGACTCCATGCTGCTGGAATATTTACCAACATTTACCCAAACAAAATCACCCAGTCATGTAGGTAAATATACCAGCACCATGGAGCATATGGGTTTTGAAAATTGGATGATTCAGCGATTAAACAAACAAACATGATGGAAAGGGGAAGCTTCGGATTTAGTGAGACTTTCTCATCAAAAAATGGTGAATGAGATCGAACCAGCAGAAATGGGGCTAAGGGCTAAACGGCTAAACCAACCAGTATATGATTACAAAACAGAGATATGTGAATACGTGCACGGGATTCATTGTTCAAAATTGAGAAGCTACTTGGGTGTTGCAGCTGAAAATTGGATGTACTGCAACCCCCAGTTTGCTCTTGTGATAGAGAAGACATGCGGGAATGATGATAAACCATGGGATTTAGGGGTACCCTGTGATCAGGGGCGGATTTGTCACCGAACGACGGTCTCCAGTATCCCTAAGAAACCATTGGGTTTACCGTGAAACAGAGAGAATGTGTCGCCAGCTGTGGGACAACAACCAAAGTCAGGATGGTATTTCAGATGTTTTAAGGTAACTAAGGAGATCATACTTGCAGTAAATCATTCCCGTTGGTATCCATGCCACAAGCCTCCCTCAGGACAAAGCACTCGGGGCATTCTTTGCATATCAGTTCCTGCCTTTGGCCGCCTTCTTCATCATACGAGCTACGGCGTCTCAGCACATCTGGTGGTGGTGCCATCCCCAAGGGGCCCCTTGAAGGCCCCTTGGGGGCCCAAGCACTGACCCCTTGGCTGGTAGAAAGCATCCGGAAATGGTAGGTTTATGACACTTGGGTTTACCTCATTATATGTGTTTACATGGATGGATGGATAGATAGACAGATAGATAGATAGATAGCTGTGCCCAAAAAATGATGCGTATCGTTGAATGTATAATAATGTATATGACCATTTGTCAAAAATAGTTGTTTAGAAGTTTAGTATTGGTTGTTGATAATTCATCTGGGTCTACTGTTTTTTCCTCTTCGTTATGAGGCGGCACGCAACTAAATTCAGCAATTCTGCAAGGCAGCGCTAGCAAACCCGCTAGGTTTGCGCTAGGTTTGATTGACAGCCATGGCCTCCATGTCGTGAATGTCTTGCCAGCTTTTCTTTCCACATATTCCCAAATTTTCGATTTTTTTTACGTATTTTACGCGCTAGATCGCCGCTAGCAACGCGCTAGCGAAAATTGCAAATACATGCCCCGGTCCACCCGCAGCCCATTCAGAGGCACAGCCATGTTCACGCTTTGGTAGCTTACAGTAAGGAAACAGCGTTGATCAGGAGGCATGTCAAGAAGCATATTGTATTCAGAGAGGCACACACACAGAGACACACAGTTCAGGAGATAGTACCAGCGACAGCGAATGAAAACCGACGTGCGTTAGCCGATTCCTGTGGTTTTAGAAAGATTTCCAAAGGTAACGAAGAATTTCCACGTTTTCACGTCATCAAGGTAGGTCATGTTTTTTAAAGGCAAACATGAGGCGGCGCGCATGGAATTGCGATTTATCAACAAAACCGGGAACAGACATTTTGACATACCGTCATATATGATTACATAATGAATTACATGTATGATAGACATATATATATATAGTATTGGAGAGGATTGGTTGCCACATGTTGCCACTTTTCGGTATTCTTGGCATTGTCCTGTCCCATTCGCCAACCCGTTAGACCCTGAAAGCGCCCTCAGGTAATTCGTGGAACATTGCCTGGTTTAATTTTGATAGCTATGTTCAATTACCAGAGGCTATAGTGGGGATTGTAATTCAGAATTCATTCAATCCCTTCTCCTAATTTTAGATTTTGGAGACCCCATTGGAAACCTTGGATTTGGGATCTCTTCATTTTGGAGGCTCATGTAGCAAGTACTTCTTTTTGTGGGGCAAGGGCCTCGGCCCTTGATTGCACCCTATAGTGAATCCCATGGAACCAGATGTTTCACCACTGTTTGTTTGATGGTGAAACCACCGTGCATGTTTCCTAGCGAAAACCCCCAATTTCTGAATGGTGAAACATGGTGAAACCACCGTATGTTTCCCATTGAATCCCTCTGTTGTTCGATGGTGAACTCCCAGAATCTCCGAAGCCGTGACCGACGCGAGGCTCGCCTTGGACCGACGCTTCGCGACTGGGGCCGCTGGGTGGCGGACGGCGCGATCCGCGGCTTCATCTGGCTGGCGGGGCATGGCAGCCGAAGCATCACGGCGGATGCAGCTTGGACATCTTGGACCGGTGGATGCTGTGCCGGCTGGCCCAACGTTGGATTTTTAAGCACTATTTAAATAGAGATTTCATAGGATTCAATGGGAATTTCATGGGAATAGCATGGGAATAGCATGGGAAGAATGGATATCTAATGGAATTAACATGGGATTCACCTTTGGGTATTTCCACATGGCTAGCTATGGAAATCAATGGATTTCCTGGTCGGAAAATGACCTACAAATCGTTGATTGCCAATACCTATATGGTTATTTGTATAAGATTTTGCCATGGGAAATGGCCCATTTATAGATGATAAACATGATGATTTACCTATCACAAATGGTGATTTTCCCAGCTATCATACCCTTCGGTATTCGGTAATCAAACATGGCTAGCTGGGAAATCCACAAACTAAATGCGGTATGAATGGGGAAATCATCTATAAATAGATGATTTTCCATTCCCATGTTCCGGGGAGGCATTCAGGAAAGAGATTTGATGGGATACTGGAATACAATGGTCAAATCCTATACTGTGGGTAATTGTGTATGTGATGTACCCAAGATGCGCGTTTTTATTTGGGTTTATCAATCAGGTACCCTGAATCCCGCGATTAATGATCACATGTTTCATTCAAGTAGCAATTTTGATTTGCGGACAAACATATTTTGGCTATGGCTCGTGACACTCCACTCGCTCTTGGCAAGAGAATAACTGTGTTTTTCTGCATTTTCGTGGCATTCTCAGATTTGAATAACCCAGAAAAGGCGGAAAGGTAGCTGTTTGCATTTGTTTGCCCCATAGCATACTTCTTCGATTCAAGGTCCAGAAATCTTCACCAAAACTCTGGACATTTGTTTCGTCCCTCATTGGCCGACATTGGCCGACTAAGGCATCCTATCCATACTTTCACTACCTGAAAGGCCAAGGATTTCGAGATGCGCCAAAAGTGTCTTCAGGCAGTGTTGGGAATGGCTGGTGCTTTTCGAAGTTCTGTCCGCGCAATTCCATGAAGATCATGAAGCCCACCCTCTGGTAATGTTGTTTTGTTTGCTAAGGAAATTCAGCATGTTCAATGGGTAACACATTGAACAAAATGGATCAAAATGGGCCATGGCTTCCATGGCTATGTCAAGTATTCGGAGGCGATCAAATTGACTGTTCCAAGCACAGCAACTTCCAGCAACTCCCGGAATCCACAGACGACTTAGTGCAACCCTTGATTCACCCTTGGCTGGTGACCAGTACAAGTGGCAAAGAACTTCAAGAATTTGGTTCCAAAAGTGGTCAAGATGAGTCATATTGCATTGAAATAGCAGCCAAATAGACGAAGTCAGAGTCGAAGGCCTTTTGATCTTTGGTTTTTTCTTTGTTTCGGAGGAAGTCAAAACCCTTTCCGACCTTGGCAGATGATTTGAGTGGGAAATCCCCCTTTAGATATTCCTTATAAACCAGCAGAACCCGGGTACCGCTTTTAGGGGCAGTTTATAACGATTTCACTTCTGAACATGAGACATAAAAAAGGGAGGCTTTATAAAATGCATGCATTTTTGAGAGACCGATCGTCATTCTAAAATCTACTGTAGCCCAATTTTGGAAGCAATAAAATGGCAAATCCAAGTAACAAGAACAAAACCTAGCCCTGGGTCACAAAAACATTTATAAAATGGTCTGGTGATCGGCCTATACATGTTATAATTAAAATGCCTTTTCCGGCCTATTCCCAAAAAAGTCATCCGGACATGCCATTATTCTGGTCAGGCGGTTATAACATGTCCAATACAATATGGTCTGTTTCATAATCCTTGATTTTTGCCAATTTGTAAGGTTTTATTTTGGAAAAAAGTGCCCGAACAATAGGCATTTTATAACTTCAAGAAGTGTGTAATTTTATAAAAGCGGCATGTCGGAATTACCATTTTCAAAGGAGCACAATGGGAAAATTGTCAATTTACAAGGGTAATCCTTATAAAGTGGCGCCACCTAGGTTCCAGGTAATATTACAAGGGGGATAGTGGGAACTTCTTCCAGGTGCCACCCTGCCGACCGTGCCATCCTGTCCCTGTCTTTTCATGCGCCTTGGTTTGAAGCGGAGCATTGAGAGAAGACATGCGAAAAAAATCTGGGATGAAATAGGTTTCTGTGGATTGACTTCGAAGCAGAAGGAAAAGATGTACCCTCCGGTAAACAAACATAGCTATTGAAAATGGCCCATTTATAGTGGATTTACCCATTAAAAATTGTGATTTTCCATAGTTTTTTGTAGGTTTACCGGAGGGTAACCAAGGTTAACCATGTGAGTCTTCAGTGAAGACTTTGGCCACCCAAGGTATGCCAAACGGAAGCCTTTCATGCCACTTGGTGAGGATCGGTGTGCTGATCCTGGAAATCCCAGAAGTTGTTAGTGGTTTCAATATGTTTCATAGGGAAATCACCATTTTTCATAGAGAAATCACCAACTTTCATAGGGAAATCACCATTTTTCATAGGGAAACCACCAATTTTCATAGGGAAATCACAATTTTTCAATGATGACTGGATTTTCAACCCTCGGATGCTGACCCCAAATGAAAAATATTGGGGTCCAATTTCAAAGCAGCTTTTCACCACGCGAAGTACTTAGAACTCCATACAGACCATCTTGGTGCCTGGTTGGATGCGTTGAGCCAGTTGATGCCCCATTGCCGACCGGATTGGACCCCTGCACCGGTTCGTACTATACCAATATGACTGAGATTACAGCTACGATAACAAGGGTTTATCCAGGTTACAGTACATAAACCCTTATAGTAGCGTTGGGAAGCCAGTTGATATAACCTGATATAAGATAGCATGATATATGAATATATGTTATATATAAAACCTTGTTACATCTATTTACATCTTATTACTAAGCCAGTTATAACCCAATTCATAGCAGCTGTTGCCTTGGGCGGAATCCAGGTTCCACAGCAAGGCTTGGGCAGAACATTTGATGCTCGGTGATTCGTAAAGGAACGTTGGAGGTGTCCGTTTAGGTTTTTTTTATGGCTTTTCATGGTGGATTTAAACGAAGAAAAAGAGGGGATTTATCATGGATATATCATGATGTATCACCTATTTTTGGGGATATAGATGAATATAGTGGGATACATCTTGGGAGATTTCACCACCATTCTCAATCTTTTTGGTTTCACTTGTGCACCCGGGTCGTGCCCTTTTCAGACTCATCAACATCGCAGGTTCCGGTCCAGGGAAAGTATGATGATAAACCATTGGCATGTTGGTGGTTTCAAACATTGTTTTTTTTCCATAATATATGGATATATATGGGATAATCATCCCAACTGGCTCATATTTTTCAAGATGGTTAAAACATGTTAAAACCACCAACCAGATTGGAATGTTGGGGGTAATCACTTGATTTTCGCACCTAACTTGGCCCTAAAAAAAGGGGTGGTTCAATCGATGCGGTTCCCCGTGCTCCAACTTAACTTATTCAGCCGCAGCTGCTGACGCACGATTCCTGTACGTGTCAGAGGGCTTTTTTCCACACATGCCAAGCCAATAGCAGAGGATATTGGCTTGATTACCATTAGCATAAATAGGATCAAAAGCACCAATTGGGTTAATCTACTGCTAATGATATATATAATCTGTTTGGTTAATTACCTTAGCAAAACCCAGTCATATATAATCCACTGCTAAAAAATATGCAAATGAACATAGATTGTGTTTTGCCAGGGGTATCTGAGATTTGCCATGGCTGATGGCTACGTGGAGTCCGGCCGTAGTTCTGAGCTTCTTGACGCTCTCATTGATCTCCATGTGCTCTGCCTCAATGGTGAAGGATTCATTCTGCGCCTGAGTCCTTCGACTTTGGGCCGGGACGTGCGCAAAATGGTTTCGGAGCGACTTCCGGCGAAGAAGGGTGCAAAGCTGGCGATCTACCATCTCACTACACCGTTGATACTTGCAAAATCATTGCAAGAGCAGAGCATTTTAGGGAAGACTGAGAGATTGTCATGTACTTATGTTCCAACAGACTTATATGCTGCGTGGTGTTACCTCCAAGGATTCCAAGTCTTCGACGAAGAGTTTGCATTGGACGGGATATCAGAGATAAGAATGATAAGAGGTCGCACCTATGTCCAGCATTTAGATCCCCTCCCCAAAAGCCTGGAAAAATTGACTTTTGGTGAGGCGTTCCACCAAAGCCTTGAACGAGTGACTTTGCCGGGCAACTTGCAAAGTCTGACTTTTGGTGATGAGTTCAACCAGAGCCTTGACCGAGTGACCTTGCCAGGCAACTTGCAAAGCCTGACTTTTGGTCGGGACTTCAACAAGCGTTGAAGGAGTGACCTTGCCAGGCATCTTGCAAAGCCTGACTTTTGGTTTCAGATTCAACCAAAGCCTTGAACATGTGACCCTGCCGGGCAACTTGCAAAGCCTGACTTTTGTTCATGGGTTCAACCAGAGCCTTGACCGAGTGACCTTGCCAGGCAACTTGCAAAGCCTGACTTTTGGTCGGGACTTCAACAAAAGCGTTGAAGGAGTGACCTTGCCAGGCAACTTGCAAAGCCTGACTTTTGGTTTCAGATTCAACCAAAGCCTTGAACAAGTGACCTTTCCGGGAAACTTGCAAAGTCTGACTTTTGGTGATGGGTTCAACCAGAGCCTCGAACGAGTGATCTTGCCAGGCAACTTGCAAAGCCTGACTTTTGGCGGTATGTTTAACCAGAGCTTTGAACGAGTGACCTTGCCAGGCAACTTGCAGAGCCTGACTTTTGGTTATTGCTTCAACCACAGCCTTGAACAAGTGACCTTGCCAGGCAACTTGCAAAGCCTGACTTTTGGTTATTGCTGCAACCACAGCCTTGAACGAGTGACCTTGCCCAGCAACCTGCATAGCCTGACTTTTGGTGATAGCAGCTTGGAAATGGCGTTGGGTTTTAAGTTCAGCCAGAGCCTTGAGCAAGTGTCCTTGCCCAGCAACTTGCAAAGCCTGAGGTTTGGTACTGGATTCAACGAAAGCCTTGAACGAGTGACCTTGCCGGGCAACTTGCGAAGCCTGACTTTTGGTGATGAGTTCAACCAGAACCTTGACCGAGTGACCTTGCCGGGCAACTTGCAATGCCTGACTTTGGGCTATAAGTTTAACCAGAGCCTTGAACGAGTGACCTTGCCAGGAAACTTGCAAATCCTGACTTTAGGGTTTGAGTTCAACCAGAGCCTTGACCGAGTGACCTTGCCGGGCAACTTGCAAAGCCTGACTTTTGGCAGTATGTTCAACCAGAGCCTTGAACGAGTGATCTTGCCCAGCAACTTGCGGAACCTGACTTTTGGTTTCAGATTCAACCAACGCCTTGAACGAGTGACCTTGCCGGGCAACTTGCAAAGCCTGACTTTTGGTGATGGGTTCAACCAGAGCCTTGAACGAGTGACCTTGCCAGGAAACTTGCAAAGCCTGACTTTAGATTATGAGTTCAACCAGAGCCTTGAACAAGTGACCTTGCCAGGCAACTTGCAATGCCTGACTTTTGGCGGTATGTTTAACCAGAGCCTTGAACGAGTGACCTTGCCCAGCAGCTTGCGAAACCTTACTCTTGGTTCGGGTTTCAAGCACAGCCTTGAACGAGTGACCTTGCCAGGCAACTTGCAAAGCCTGTTTTTGGATAGCATTTATCTGCATCTGTGAGTTCAGTGTTACTCGTATGTTTTTCTGCCCGCGAGCCGGTCCGGTCCGTTTGAAAAGGTGAGCTGGTGGGATGAAGCATTGCCTGCCTGTTTGGGCAGGTGAAAGGGTTAATTATTTGGTTCTGCCCAAAGTTGAAACCCCTGTTTTATCAAGTTTCCAGATTTAATGTTTATCTTTTCCAAATCCCGTTCTCGCCCAAGAAGGGTATAAGTCGTACAGTCGTTGCTTTATGTT